GGTCATAGTCATGGTCATCAACCTAACCTCACTTGACTATGAATCATAGTCATAGTCATGGTCATCAACCTAACCTCACTGAACTATGAATCACAGTCATAGCAATAGTCAACCTAACCTCACTTGACTATGAGTCACAGTCATAGCAATAGTCAACCTAACCTCACTGAACTATGAATCACAGTAATATAGTGAGCCTAACCTCTAAAAAATTTTCAATAATGATCATTTGGTTGATCGTAATTCTTTTTTCAAATCACAACCTTCAATCGAAAGTCAATAAAAAAAATCATACGATTTTAAATCATCACCATCATTATAATCATCACCACAATCGACAAAACAAGAAACAGGAAAAAATCAAAGGCCATACTATTTCTGATGCAATTTTTTTCTCTGTTCAAAATGATTTGAATGAAATTGTCTGTCAAATCAACAGCAAACCAATTTGATTCGATAATGACGTATATGGTCGGACTGTTTTTTTATCAATCATACGAGAGGGTGGATATTTAACATGTTTGTTTTGCAGGAAAATGATAAAGAGAAATCAAATTAGGCAAAAAAGGGAAAAAACTGATCATCATCATTCATCAAGGATAAACAATAACAAAACAAACAAACAATAAGGATAGTTTGTTTACAATCAAAAGAGAGATCCAACGAAAAAAGTATCCATCCATAATTGGCTATATTCTTATTGATTAGGTAATTTTGCTCTGACCACTAACAAAACAATGATAAAAGGAAAAGAAATTGTTTGATGCACTGAACATTGTGTACAAAATAAACATTGGAAAAAATTGAGCTGAATTGATCATTTATTTTACCATTTGATTAGAAGAAAGGGAAAAAGATTATCAATATTGGAAAACCACATCCAGATAAATTGATGACGAATTTATTAATTGATAATTGATCTATTGATTGGAAAGTTGAATAAATGTTTACATTATCCACATGATTCAATGACGTAAATTTTATCTAATCCCATTAATATTCAGCATCATTAATGGATAAAAAATGATGTCAAATGATTGATAATAATCCCTTATCTTGAAAATTGAAATTGAAAAATTCATATGACATTTTCATTTTCAGTTTGTTTGAAAATGATTAAATGAAAAACCACTTTTCCAATGTAATCTATGCTGGGAAATTATTGGGAAATTTTTCGCCTGGTTTTTCATAGAATTTTCCCATTTTATTTTCAAAAAGAAAAACAAGAAAAATTCTATAGGATTTCGCTTGGAAAAATAGATAATATTTTCTTTCTCTTTTCACTTTTCACTATTTATTACACCTCGGGCTAATTCGTGAAAAAAACATCAACAAGTTGATTTATAATTGAAGCGAACGAGGTAAATGAAAACAACAACTTGTTTTTTGTTCAATCCACAAAATCGATAACAAAACTGGTTCGAAATGTTGTTTTTCATTTTTCGACAATATTCGCTTGACCTAGATGTAAAAGACATGACACTGGATTTTTTCAGTTTTTTGTTTATTTAGACAAAAGATATTATTGTAATTAATATTTTTCATGTTAAAACATAAACAAAATGATCAGCCCATGAATAATATTTGCATAAATATATTTAGCGATTTTTTTGATGAATCGATTTGAAAAATTCCTGGAAATTTTTTCGAATTTTGCTGTGATGGAAAAAAATTTTCCGGAAATTTGTTTTATCAATTGAAAAAAAGAATTATTTTTGGATTTACTCTCGAATTTGTATTTATTTTGATTTAACATTGAAAATCCTCTGGCTGGTCCATTTTTCTGTTGATTGATCTCTAATCTTGTTAAAAAATTCCGTTAGTCATAATATTTTACTAGTCCAAATATACGATTCCAACAAAATCATTGTAAATATATCTTTTGATAATTATTACTCGTCATTGTTGACCTTCAATTTATTTCATCCGAATTAAGATTTTCCCAGTGAATTTCAGAAAAATGTCTGTACCAAATGTTTTGGCTAAAAAATTGTCCATCGATAAATTGAATTTGAAAGATAAACGCGTTCTAACCAGGTAATTGATTGTTAATCGTTGGACAAAAATGTGTCATTCTAATTAATTGAGTAGGGTTGATTTTAATGTTCCAATGAAAGATGCAAAAATAACCAACAATCAGCGTATTGTAGCAGCACTTCCAACAATCAAATATGCTTTGGAAAATGGAGCCAAAGCTGTTGTGTTGATGAGCCATCTTGGTCGTCCGGATGGTTTTCGTAATACAAAATATTCATTACGTCCAGTTGCCGAAGAAATAAGTCGTTTGTTGAATAAAAATGTTACCTTTTTGAATGATTGTGTTGGTCAGGAAATTGAAAATTCCTGTGCCAATCCTACGCCGGGTTCGGTCATTCTATTGGAAAATCTTCGATTTCATCTTGAAGAAGAAGGAAAAGGAGTCAATCCGGAGACGCAAGAAAAAGTTAAAGCATCGGCGGCAGAAATTGAAAATTTCCGTGCATCTTTAACACGTATGGGTGATGTTTATGTTAACGATGCTTTTGGTACCGCACATCGTGCTCATTCATCAATCGTGGGAATTGCACTCGCCCAACGAGCTTGTGGATTTTTAATGAAAAAAGAATTGGATTATTTTTCCAAAGTTCTTTATGAACCTGAACGACCACTTTTGGCCATTTTAGGTGGTGCGAAAGTTAAAGATAAAATTCAATTGATTGAAAATCTATTGGACAAAGTTAATGAAATGATTATTGTTGGTGGAATGGCATTCACTTTTTTGAAACGATTGAAAGGAATGTCTATCGGCAGTTCGTTGTTCGATAAAGAAGGAGCTGAAATTGTGGAGAAACTGGTGGATAAAGCTAAAAAAAATAATGTCCAGCTTCATTTCCCGTTGGATTTTGTCTTGGCCGATAAATTTTGTGAAACAGCCACTGTAGGTTATGCTACATTAGAACAAGGCATCCCGGATGGATGGATGGGTTTGGATTGTGGCCAGGTTTCCGTTGAACAATTCAAATTACCATTAGCAAGAGCCAAAACTATTGTTTGGAATGGGTAAATATTCAATTGCTTGATGATTACTTGATTGGTGATTACTTGATTGATTATTAATTTTTTCTATCTAATTAGCCCGGTTGGTGTATTTGAATTTGATAATTTTGCCAAAGGAACTAAAGCCGTTATGGATGCTGTTGTTGAAGCTACACAACGTGGTGCAACAACCATTATTGGTGGTGGTGATACGGCAACTTGTTGTGCAAAATGGGGAACTGAAGATAAAGTCAGTCATGTTAGTACTGGTGGTGGTGCTAGTCTTGAATTATTGGAAGGTAAATTATTACCAGGTATTGCGGCCCTATCTGAAATCGATTCAACCAATCAATGAATGATTGTCTGTCTGCACATTTAGATTTAGATTTTCGTAGAATTCCTCCATCTATCTTTAATTGCCAATTTTGTTTTTTTTTTATTTTTTATTTTTGTGTGTTATTCTTATTGTTTATTTATTTTAAACAGAAAAAATTGAATTTACATTACAATTATTATGATAATAGAATCAATCTTGTTTGAAGTTAGAAATAGGGTAATTGCCACCATACATTTTAAGATGCTGTTTAAGTTCTTGAGCTTGTTCTATTAGTGATTCGGGCATTTTATCATAAACATCTTCAAACATTTCCATATAATTTGGTTTAGGTAATTTTTCTGCCTTGACAAATGCCGTCATCACCAGGCGTTTGGATTCATTTTTCCAACTTTTCTCCAAATCATCATCCCACCATTGTTTTTGTTCAAGATATTTACGAAATCGAGTTATCGGGTGATCTTTTTCATCCCAACTTCTAACTTCATCAACACTTCTATAAGCACTTGAATCATCCGATGTTGAATGATGACCAATACGATATGTCATTGCTTCGATTAGTACTGGTCGTGATTGTTCCAAGCAGATTTTTTTCGCTGCTAATGTTGCATTATAAACAGCTAAAACATCATTACCATCAACACGAATCGATGGTATACCGTAAGCAGGTCCACGACAAACAATACCATCACCACGATATTGCTCGTGTGTTGGTGTCGATATTGCATAACCATTATTTCGGCTGCATTTTCGTTTTGGAAATGAAATTTAGATATGAATTAATCATAAAACAAAACATACCAAAAAAATATAACCGGCGCTGATAATGTAGCGGCAAAATTCATTGCAGCATGAAAATCACCTTCAGATGCAGCACCTTCACCAAAGTAACAAATGACAATTCGTTGTTGATTTTGTCGTTTGAATGCATATGCAGCACCAACTGCTTGTGGCATCTGTGTTGATAATGGTGATGATATCGATACAAAACAATGATCTTTTGTTCCATAATGAACAGGCATTGATCGTCCTTTATGTAAATCTTCACTATTTCCATAACATTGTGCCATTAGTTTATCGATTTCAAATCCTCTCCAAATCAATACGCCTACCGAAAAACAGAGAGAATAGAATGTTTTGGCTTGTTGAATATTGAAAGAAATCCTACCTGCTTCACGATATTGGCCAAAAGCTAAATCATCATTTGAAATTGCAGCAGCCGAACCAAAATGTGTTCCTTCTTCACCATAATTGGTCATATAGAATGATATTCGACCTTGTCGTTGTGATTCATAGAGGACACGATCCATTGAATTCAAAATGGTCATTCCTTTATAGATTTTGGTCATGAGTTCTTTATCAAGATTTGGATCTTGTTTCTCATCCAATACTTGGCCATTGCGATTCATAACACGATAAACTGGAATGTTTTCAAAATCATCCGGATCAAAAAAATGAAGATCGGTTACGAATTTTGATTTAGCACCCGGAAATTCTGCCACATTATCAATAGTGGAAACATTCGGTAATTCATGCAACAGTGTTTGTTCACTTTTTGATTGATGATGATGCGATTCAGCACAAAAAGTTTGTCGTCGAATGGTCGTCATAAACGATGAATTGAATGTTTGATGAATTCTGTCAGAATTAATTGATATTCCCAAATTTGATGTTGGTAAAATTCGAAATTTTGATCCATTTATAAGAATATTACGACACAATTTGAACATTTTCATCACCAATGATATGTTTTTCTGGAAAAAAACCTTTTTTGGTTCTCAGTGGAAATGGAATAAAGTAAATAAATAATGTTGTCATGTCATCAGAAAAGAAAGAAATATATTTTTTCAAAAAAAGAAATCTTGTTCATGTTAGAAAGGATTCGAATGTCGTAATGTTCTCTTTCTTCATATATTGGTTGGTTATCTTCGATTTTGGGATAGTTTTCAATTACATCTTGTTTGCTTCAATATATTTCATGATGAAAATCAATATATTTTCCATTTCTTCATTCAGCCTTCGTTGTGTGTGCGTGTTATGAGGATGATAACGGATCTTCCCATCATCAACATAATTTTCTGATTGATTTTTCTTGATAAAACAAGTAAACACTTTCAAGGATATCTGCTCTCATTCGCCTTTTTTTGTTGTTGCTTATAAGCCTCTCTATTTATCTACCATGTTCCGGATTAGATGCTTTTTTTATCAGTTCAATTCAATACACATATACAATGCTATGGATTTTCCCTCTTTCCAAAATCAAAATATGATACATTTTTTCATTTGTTGATGTGATTTTTTGAAAATATTATCATTGTGTAATATTGCGAAACAGGTAAATTACAGAATTTATGAATAAAACATTGTTGTTGTTGATGACGTACGTGGTATTCTGTTTTTTTTTGTATCGAAGTTAGAATTCATTTTTAGGATTCTTTTGACAAACCAAAACGTTTTTTGATTTGATGGTGATGATAATTTTTTTGGCTGGGAAGGGGAAAAATTCCTAAATGAGGATTAACTGAATTCTCGTTCAAAATGGAAATCCAAGAATTTTTTTTGTTTAAAAAATAATTTGAAATTTTTGTGGTGAAAACAAAATTCTCTGTACGAAAAATTCTATCAAGCAAAAAAAACTTTTTTCTTGTTTTTAAAAATAGAACTTTTTTCATCGTGGTTTTAAAGCGTCTGGGAAAATGATTTGTCGAACAAACAAAAAAGTAAAGTTAAATGACTTAACAGTTTTTGGTTTGATTGGTTGCCATTAGAAAAATCTTTATTCCACATCACCAATGAAATCGTTATGGTAATTACACGTTAAAAGATTGCAATTTGGTTAATGTTCTTTCAAAACAAACAAATTAATTAGACTGTTAAATCCGTGAAATAATTTATCATTTCAAACTATCGAATGTCATGATTGTTATGTTGTTTTGATGAAGGATTTTCGAAAAAGCAAATTACATAATCATCAACACCATTCGTTCAAAAAACAAATAAAATGGATACAGATTTTAATGATAGATTTGAACACGATGAATTTTCAATCGAACAAGTTAAACAATTATTTCATTGTTTAGTTGATAATGATGATAATTTATTGAAAAAATGCTGTGATTTTCTCAACAATTCATTGATCGATGATGATTCCACCATAAACAACAATGTTTCATCACAAAAAACCACATTCCGCAATGGTGAATGTGAAACCGAACAACAACAACAAACCGAAATTCATTTCGAATCACGAAATGATGAATTTGAACAGATCATATCATCATTGTCTCAAAATATTAGACAAATTCAATTAGAATTTAATCAGCACAACAACAATAATAAAAATCCAACAACAACAATCAATTATTGTGAATTGACTGATTCATTTTTCAACAAATCTAATCAAATTCAATTGGATCTAGTCAAGATTAAAAAATTTTTAATTCTAAAATCGACATCTGGTGAAGAAAAACGATGTCGAAAACATTCAACTTGTGGCCAATCTTACAATAATTATATAAATCGAATATTAGGCAATCGATTTTTCTTTCTACAATTATTACATTTTGAATGTATCATTTTACATTATTTGAAATGTTTTTCTCAACAACAGCAAACATTTTCCAATAACAATTTATCAAATGATATCCTATTATCACAGATGCAATGTTTATTTCGAAATTATTATACATTGATTATTAAACTTTCCTATGGTAAGTTTTATCCTAATCATATGATGTTTATCAACTTGATTTTTTAAAAAATTTAGAACCGCCATTTGTTCAATCAGTACGATCATTACATCCAAAATCATCGATAATCACTTGCAATATTTTGTGTTATTATCTGAAATTGCTTGATCATAAATTGATTCGGGAAAATTCACAAAACAATCAACAGGAATTAGTCGATACAATCATCAACAATAGATCCATAGTGATTATTCTGGACTATCTGATCATTTTGAATCGATTAGGTAAATGGATTGATTATTCTTTATTTGGTCAAATAATTCGAATGTTATTACTTTATTAGAATTGTTGGATTTTAAAACAGAAATTTTTCCGAATATTATAGCCGGATTCGGCGAAAATCAATCGGATTTTGATAAAATTATTCAGATCACTCAGGAATATTTTGAAAATAATCCCGATTCTTCCTTATTATCATCACAAATCAATCTAGTCCGATTTGGTAATTTGATATTGAGAAAATTTGGTTCATTGAATAAATTCATTGAAAAATCAACACTTAGATCTCGAACAATATTAATGTTGTTTAATGTTTGTCGAAAATGTAAGCGTTTATTTTCAAAATTTTCAAAAATCTTAAATTATTTTCACTTTTGGTTTTCTTTTCGCAGTACGATGTGATTCGGATCGTTTTTGTTCATCATGGATTTTATTACCTACCGTTATTGAATTATTGCAACATTGCAATCAATATCATCGGGAAATTTGTGAACAAAAATCCACATTAAATTTAAACAAAGACGATATTGATCGTTTGGAAATTGGTGAAAAATTGATTGAAAAAGATAGTCAACTAAAATTGTATCTATCAATATTACGTGATATTTATGGAATTTTATCATTATTGCTTACGTTTACGGAATCATCCATTACAAATGAATATTTTCGATCATTGAAAATTGGTGAAATAATTTTTCAAAAATTCATGCAACCATTTGTCTGTTCATTAAATGGAACCGAACATAATGATCCCATCATCAGCGACGATAATTATCGACAGATGAAAATCAATACAATATCTGAGGCATATAAAATATCGAATTTATATCGAAAACAATATGATCGTATAATACATTATACAAATCGTTTAGTTGTTATGTCCAGTATGTTTATACAACGTTTATTACCGTCTTTATTGATACCATTAGATGATAATCGTAATCCATTCACATTTCAATATAATCCCCATTTGCCAAAAGCAACAACAATTGTTGAGCAAATAAGCGAAGATCAAGGAGATTATGATGATGATGAAGAACAACCAGATTTAGAAATCTATCCCGTTGGTAGTGATGAAGAATGTTTAGAGTCGGATTTATTTTCCGAAAGTGAATTAGAAGATACTACTAGCAATGATAATAATAAGAAAAAATCCGAAGAAATTGATAGTTCACTTGCGAGATCTTATCTGGGTTTTTTTCCCGAAATCAAATTCAATTGCTCAAATGACGATAATGAACTTAAACTAAGTTGTTCATGTGATCAGGATTGTTCCAAACCGATATTCAAACAAAAACCAACAAATATTTCGACATTCATCAGACCGGATAAAATTGATGATTTTGATTGGAAAAAAACTTTCACGGCAATTTATGATTCAATAAAAACGGTCCAACCTAAACAGGTGATTCCCACACCAGAATTGAACAATTGTCATCAACAAAATTCAGTCCAAATTCATCCAATGACATATCCATTTTTGAAGAATGCAATTCGTTTAAAAAATTACCATCATATTAAATTATTGGATCATGTTGGCCAGCGTTTGTTTCCATTGTTTAACAATTGTGAATATAATATTGTCTATGATATTGAAAAACCGGTGGCGAAAACAATGGATGATGAAAAATTTTTAAAATTTGAATCACGATTTGAATGTGGTAATCTTCGCAAAGCATTATTCATACAACAATCAAACCCCAATGAAAATAATGAACAGGAATATTTGTTAATTTTGAATCCCGATATTAATTGTACATCACACACTCAATGGTTTTATTTTCAAGTTAAACAAATGCAAACTAATCATAAATATCGATTCAAAATTATAAATTGTGAAAAGAAAAGTATTTTATTCAACAATGGACAACAGCCATTATTCTATTCGTGTCGAGAATATGAAAAATGTGGAAAAACTTGGCAAAGAATTCATGATAATGAACCGATGACCAACAATAAATATATAGTTGCTTATTATAGAAATCATTATGTTAAAAATAAGGAATTTAAAAATTTATTCAAAGCAAAATTATTTTATACATTGGAATTTACATTCACTTTTCCGTATGAAAATGATGAATGCTATTTTGCATTCAATATTCCATTTAGTTATAGTCAACTTCAAACTAACATCTGTTATTGGTCTTATTTAGTTGATAATCATAATCGAAAAAAATCTGTAAATCCTGGTGATCAAATTTTGTTCATTTCACAAACATTATGTTCCTCATTAAAAGGCAATGATTTGCCTGTGATTACAATAACATCGAATGATAAATTTGATGATAAACATTATATTATGATTACTGCCCGTGTTCATCCATCCGAATCAAATTCATCTTGGTTGCTCAAAGGTTTCATTGATTTTCTGCTACATTCATCCGACAATGATGGTGATGATCAACTGATCTGGCTAAAAAGGAAAGAATTATTAGATAAATATATTTTCAAAATAATTCCTATGCTCAATCCTGATGGTGTTATTAATGGCTGGTATGTTGTCGTTGTTAATCTAAAAGAATTCTATTTGATTTTATCTTATCCCATACAGTACTAGAACCGATTTACAAACCGAAGATTTAAATCGTCATTGGATGGATCCATCGCCAATTTTACATCCAACAATTTATCATTCAAAAATGTTGCTACAATGTTTACATACTTATTCGGGTGGTCGAAATCCGGTTGCATTTCTCGATATACATGGCCATTCACGACGACACAATATATTTTCCTATAGTTGTTTTCCATTATTATCATGGAAAAAATCTGATCAACAAAATTATTTTAAAAAACATCTTCAAAAGCATTTGTGTGTTTGCACCGATAATACAACATGCAAATTAATTGATCAACTTGAATCAATTAAAAATGAAATGAATGATGATGATGAGCATGTGGTGAATTTAGCCATGCCACCATTTCTAACGATTCCATTAGTTCTACAATATCAACAATCACCGGCATTTAACCCGGATTATTGTTCATTTGCAATGCAAAAAGATCGTGAACAAACAGCACGATTGGTAGCTTATCGTCAATATGGCATCAATTTAGCCTATACAATTGAATGTTCAGCAAGTGGTTGTGATAGAGGTCCGTATGCTGGACAAAATTTATCCATTATACAAATGCAAGAAATGGGTCATTTTCTAGCTAAATCATTCAATCTTATCAAATTTATTTATTGTTCATCGAAACATTTTCCATTGATACAATTCATACCAGAATCTATCGACGATCAACAACAACAAAATGTAAACAAAGCAAATAAAATCAGGTAAACGAGATTTTTGATCGTTAAGTTTTGAAATGTTTTATTTATTGATTTTCTTTTACTTTCAAATCCCTCTATACAACAAATAGCAATATCATATTGAACAGATGTGTACGGTCAAGAACTTCGGACAAATCGATGATGCCCAAACAACAAAAAATCAAACAAATGATTACAAACTTATATCCAGATCTCAATGAATTGGATTCATATTTTGTGGAAAAAATTAATAATAAATAAAAATATTGGATGATAAATTAATATTTACACTATTTGTTCGGTTATATTTTGTCCAAAGTTTCCTCATATTCATCACGATTTTTTGAATCTGCAATTTTCTTTACTTTATTCGATTTTTTTGGCTTCATTTTGACAGGACTATTGTCTTTCAATTTAATAATGGGATCGTCATTCTTTTTGCCCGCTTTTTCCGATTTGGCTACTTTAACCACTTTTTTCCCAGTTATCAAATCATTAACCACAGAAGTTTTGACAACTTTTTTACCGGATTTTTTCTTCTTGCCAGTCTTCTCTTTAGTTTCGGGGATTTTCGAATCTATTGCAGTTTTTTGTCGCATTTTATTCAAATCATTAATAACATCATCGAGATTTACTTTGGCTAAAGCTTTATGTGGATCTGATGCTTGTTTGAATGAATCATCATCGTCTTCATCATTGTCATTCAGATCGACGCCTTCGGGCATTTCTAATGCTCGAATCGATATTTTATTATCATTTTCCTCCTCATCTTCATTATCTTCATTATTGGTATTTACTTTTGTATTCTTTTTCTTGGTGGTTTTCTTTTTATATTTACCATCATCTTTTTTCACATTATCCGTTTTTTTCATTTGAAGTAAATATTTTTCCGATGAAATTAATCCAGGAATCGATGCATTTTGTTTGGTCGAAGATAATTCTTGTGAAAATATTTCATTTTTATCAGAGTCTTCATTTTCATTATTTTCATAGAAATTTTCGTTTTGTCTTTTTGTTTTTCGTTTAGATTTTTTAGCCATTGGTTTGGATGATTTTGTAGTTTTTAAATAATTTGGATTATTTTCCTGTTCAAATCTTCGCAACAGTTCATTTTCATTGTTATTTTTCTCTTGTCTTTTATTCAATTCATCGGAAGATTCGCCTATATCGTTTTGTTGTTCATCATCAACCAAATGGATAACTTTTTCATAATCATCACCGTAATCATCTGATTCATCTTCGCTTTCAGGCAGATCAAATGGTGTATCCAAATCTAAACCGATTGGTATTGGTACTTTACGTTGTGCTTTGGCAGCGACCGGATTTAATGGATAAGCATAATAAAATGATTGTAGATTGATCATCACATTCGATACATTGCTGCCATCATTTGTTTCATCATCACCATTAGTCATTGCGTCGGAATGTTCATTGGAATCATTCATCAATAGATTCGTTTTATCCACTTGTTGTTTGCTAATATTTTCATTTTTCATCGATTTAACAATGGCTATTATTTCGGATAATGTTGTTGCACGTTCTTGAATTTCCAGGTTTTGATTTTTCAGATATGGTTTAATTTTTTCTTCAATTTGTGAACAAAGATTATAAATTTTGCTGCTGGAATTATTATAATCAGGATCGGCTGCTAATTTGGCAAATATTTTCGATGCATTTTGAATGAAAACTGCTATAATATGAGGCTGAAAATTATCGATGGACAATAAATTTAGAATCGTTTTTTCTTTATCAGGCAAATGACTAATCGGATGAAAACACATGTAATTAATTAATTTTAAAAATTCAATTTAAAACATACTCTGCAAATTCACCACATATCCATGCAGCTGCATAAAGAACTTCGCAAACCGAAGAATTATTCATAAAAAGAGCAGAATTTTCCAATAAAATGTACTGAAAAAAATTAAGGGTTGAAAAATGAAAAAAAAATTATTTAAAATTCAAACCATTTTTTCGGTTGCAAATGATCGTATAGCATCAACACGAATTGAAACATCTAATATTTGTTGGGCAATCAAAACACCATGTATGGTTCCACCATCAACACGAGCCAAATCAATCAAAACACTTAAATACCTGATGGAGAAAAAATATTTATGAAATTCATTCAAACAAACACTGAATACTGACCATTCAAAATTAACAATAAATTGATAATCATTTTGTGAACAAATTTCAATCAATTTCAATATTAATTCATCACGGAATTTATTGCCAATTTGGCCTTCGGTAACATTTTTAACCAATTTCTGTACAATTTCCATTAAATTCTTTTTGGTAACCATACCGTAAAGTAGATCCAATGCACGTAAACGAATCGATTCATCTTTATCATCCAAACAAGCCAGAACAAGATCTTTATGACTTTGCACACTTTTCGGATGAGTTTTCAATATTTTATTCATTGCTAATAATCCAAGATATTTAAGATTTTGATCCGAATCTTCGATTAATATTCGCAATTTTTGTACACATAATTGTATCGATGCATTGTGATTTGGTAGACCAGAAGAAATGGAAATCAAAACAGCAATCACAGTATTGATGCATTCATATAATAATGACATTGCCGATGTGCTAAACATAATAACAAACATTATTTATCACAATTTTTGTTTTTCAAAAAAATTTTTACCAATTTAAAATTGAAATGAAAACAAAATAAAAACAAAACAAAAATTTACCTGTGTATCAGATTCGTTAATGGTTCTATTAATTTTTTTCCTAATCTAGGTTCAAGTGGTGTAAGTGCACCGAACTAAAATGATAGAGTGGGCCAAAAACAAAAAGAAAAAGAAAAATAAAAAAAAAAACAAAACAAAATAAAATAATAAATTCTAAAACAAAGTGACCTATTATCATTATCATTATTTGATATTTAATTCAATAATAAAGTGTGTGCAAGAAACATCTACAGGGACGATTATGAATTTAAAAAAAAACAAACAAAAAAGTGCATTGAACAATATTAGTTTTGTTTTTGTTACCTTCGTATTAGCGATATGAGAGGATTGCTTAGCTTAATACCAAGCAATGGTTCATATTTGGTCATTACTCCGAACTTGTTGATTTGGATAGCACAAATGGATAGCGAAAAAATTAATTAATTATTAATTTCACTACACTATTATTATCAACTAAATATCAAATAATAATAATAATAATAAATTGGAAATGAAAATAAATACCAATTTGATAATTTTGATAAGCATCCAATTGTTTGTTGAATTGGTCATCAATTTGAAAAATACCGGTGCTAATGAAAGATAATTTTTTGGATTTTTTCTTGCCAATTCACAGATAACATTGACAGCTGCTGATTGAACACCTGGATCAGGATCTTCAAGTTTTTCTTTCAATCTTGGAAATGCTGGTTTAAGGGCTTCAGGAAATTTCAAAAAAATTTTATACATCAATAATATTGCTTTTTTGCGTAGATATGGTTTTGTTGAACTCAATAATGTCATAACATCATTGGCCAAATCACGACTAATATCGGCTGTAACAAAACAAGCTAGGCCACTCATTGCACAACCAGCATCATACATGTTTTGTGAATTTAAATCCTTACGAATCATATTCGTGGTCAACATCATTACTTCGGTATTTTCATGAAATGATTGCGATGCAGCTAAATAACCGATTCGTTTATGAGAAAATTTTGTCGAACTCATTACTTCGATAATGTTGAATGCTGACCAGCTTATATCATAGCCTAACATTTGTAGCTATCATGTTTGACAAATTAGTGATTAAAACAAACAAAATAACATTCCAGTCACTTACATAGGTTAGCTTGGAAATGGCATTAGCTTTAACAAAAAGGCTATCATTTCGTAATTCTTCTTTAATTTCTTCAATACATTGCTGAATGTATTTGGTCTGTATTGGAATAGAATTCAAGTTGATTAACAACAACAACAACAACAATGTTATTCTTTACCTCATTTTCTTTGTTATTGCGAATACCACGAACTAGATCGGTTAATGTTTTGTCGAAAATTCGATCGAAATTTCCTTTTACTTTACGGATGTTCATTTTCGTTTGTTTGTTTGTCAATTCAATTTATCGATTAGTTTTGAGATTATTTTGGTTGGGTAAGAATTTTGTTGCACGATTTATTCGAATTGATGATGATCAGAACATTTGAGGCGTTGATTTTTTTTGTCGCATAAGGGCAATGGTATAAAGTTGTTTAGATATTTCTTATCACCACCACTACTACTCAAATAGATAGCCAACGATGATAATCAAATCAAGTTTTTTTGTTTCAATTTTATTAAAAATGAAAATATCGTTTTGCTTGTTTTTCTGTTAAATTGTTTATTTATTTAGATTTAACAAATGTTGAGTGAGCGAATGAGCGACGAGAAAAAACTTGACAATAATATTTAATTGATAAAATTAGATATCAAAATATGAATTGAATTGGATTATTCATTTTATTTATTTGATTGATAAAAAACATCATCATCAGAAAATGGAATGAATGAAACAAAATGGAAAATTTTGTTGAACAGAACGACAACCTGGCATATTTCAATATTAAAGCCTCGAATACTGTGTCGAACCAAATAAAAAATTACGTTATTCGAATGAACGAGTTTCGATGGTGGTGGTGGTGGGCGGGACTTATTAAAACAAATTCATAAAATCTGTAATCAAAAGAATTTTTTAATTTTATTTTTTACAAAAAAAAATCAAATTAAATTAAAATTATTTAACAGTTTTGTTGAGATTACGAAAACCAATACCAACACATGCAGCTTGAATTTTTTTCGATCCAATTTTCATGGTCATATCATCTTTTTCATCATCTTTATTCGATGATTCTGATTCTAATTTGAATGTTAATGATGTAAATGTTTTTAAATGCCTTAATAATTGAATTGTATATGGACTTAATGGACCGAAAATTACTTTGGATAGATCACGATCAGTAAATGCCATAAATATAGAAGCAATTCCTTGATTAATTGTATTGATTGTACCACCCCGATATATATCGTTAAAAAGGTTTGATGCAGCTAATCGTGCAACATCTTCAGGAATCGAGACATCTGAACCAGATCCAGATTCCGAAGCAGCAGGTCTAGACATTGCTTCACCAACATAGAATACACCTTCAGTTGTTTCGGCAACCAACGATAATCCGAAACCGGGAGATTTACCACTATTTTTACCTTTAAGATGATCAGTATAAATATAAATGTCGGTAATAAATTTCAACAACATTCCTTTGGCTGTATCGACCATTCGATTGGCAATTTGTGGTGAAACTCTTGTCGCGAATGCAATACCACGAATTCGTTTAACTTTTCCCGGCATCATTAGATGAACAGGTTTTAAAACTTTTCGAATTGGACATTTAAACGAAACAATTCCACCACCACCTGGTCGAAGACCACGGGAAATTATTTTCAATTCAAGTTGTTGTTCATCGAAAACATTGAAAAATTGCTTCAATAACGGTATGGACGAATGTCGAATAGCATCGACAGATGGATCAATCGTATCATTTGTAATTCCATGCAGGCAAGCTTCGACTGGAATTTTACAATATGGTGCTAATGGTATGAGAACTTCAAGATAATATCCAATTGATCGTTCCAAACAACACCAATGTTCTATTGAACCGCCGGATAATATTCCAGGTTTATATGTAATACGGGTTCCATTTTTATCGATTAAAATCGATGAACCATTAGTAATTTTTTCAATCAATTTTAGCAGACTAATTTCATATTTTTGTACACCATATTCAGATGAATTTCGTTCACGAATCTGATCGATGATTATTTTTCTTCTGGTTAATGTGGCAAGAATAATTCTTTGACGCAAACAATTGCTGCCTTGAAATTCAAGAAAATCCATTTTACATAACAATTTCAAATTCAGGATTTTTCGAAACAATTCTCTTGAAATTCTTGTCAAACGCGAGCGAGAAAAAAACGTGGTTATAATTTTTCATAAAGTACGTAATCACTCATGTTATCAAATGTTAAAAGAATTCTTGTGATGTGGAACAAGATTTACTTAGGATTTTCTTAAAGATAACATTTCTTTTCAATTTTTTGGCTGCCATGATTTTGGAAAAAACAACAACCAAGATCAAAAAAACAAAATGGTGAAAAAGAATCAAACAAAATCACAACAACAACAAAGAGCTTTACATTTTTTGGCTCAACATTATTGGAAATTATTATCATTGCTAGTCTTGATCATTTCGATTGGTATTTATTATTATCAATATCATCATCATTATGAAATACCATCATCATCGTCAAATTACAAAAATATCAATATTATCAAGGATTTTCTTTATGAAACTTGGTCAACATTGTCATTCAGTACAACTGTGATTTATAGGAAATTTTTTTCCAACAACAATGATCAACAAAATCGTTATAATGTGATTTTGGAGCAATTATTAAAGGCTGAACAAAATGTTTCGCTGGCAAAATCTTCACGTATAGCAATTGGTCTAGGTGTTTGTACAGATTTAGTAATTCGTGCATTAGATATATTCGATCAATTTGATTCGCCTGATGATGCTCAACCACATGATCATATTGATAATTGGAGTAAATTTCTTGAACTTTTTGCCTATTATTTTCAACGTGGTGCAGCTTCTGAGTAAGTAAACTGAAGTAAGAAGTAAGTGAATATTAATTAGTTTTTTTTCATTATAATTAGACGTTATATAAAATCGAAGCAAGTTTATCAAAAATTAATCAATTTGATTGAGGAGAAAAAAATCCCAACAAAAGAAGCAATTGGAAGTAATGCACCATTAATATCATTACGTTTTGCTCAAGAAGGTTTTGAAAATATTCTGTTGGGTGCTCAAATCACTGAAAAATTATTGAAAAAATTTCCAAATAATATTGAAATTAGTGGACCAATCATTGATCAAGATGATTATCATTTAATATTAGAATATAATATTAATGAGCAATGGAATCAATACCGAAGTCCAAGAGCAAATCGTTTGATTGTTCACAGTGATGATAATAATGTTAAGTTATTATCGAGAACAAAATTTTTCAAACAATTGCCGAATTTCCGACCGGATTTATTAGTTCTTACCGGTTTACATATGTTGGACAATAGTCCAATTGATTTTCAAATTAGACAACAGGCTATTGAAGATCTTGCTAAAGATTTAGAACAATTTCGTCTTGAAAATCAAGAAGTACGTACACATTTTGAAATGGCAGCATTTACGGAAAATCGTTTATTAGATTCGGTTGTGAATCAAATATTTCCCCATATAGATTCATTCGGTATGAATGAACAAGAAGCAACAAATCTATTATCATTGATGAAATTTGGTAATATTTCCTATTCATCCAATCCATTTCCACGTGTTGCATATGTTTTGGATGAAATGCGTGAATTGTTTTCATTACTGGAATCGATTGGAAATAATGAACAACATCAACAACAACAACAACATCGTCGTATTAGTCGAATTCATGTGCATACATTAGCCTATCAAGTTGTTATGACTAGAATCGATGAAAAATTGAATCGATCGATTTGGAAATCAAATAGACAAGCAATGGCAAAAGCATCATTAACAGCATATCGTTATACTGTAAGTGCAATTGATGATTTTGGATTTCATATTGACATCACTTTATTATTACCAAAAAAAAGTGTAATTTACCAGAAATTGATTTAAAACAAGTCAATATCCTATTGGATGATTCATTTGCAATCACATCGAATGAACAACAAAATGTTGAACGCGTTCAATTAAACGAAGCAATTAGATGTTGGCAAGAAAATCTTGACAATTCACATTTGACTGGAAAGAAAACACGTGTTGAAATTTGTCTGGCCATCGGTATGGTTTGTACAAATGTTTTACAAACCGTTGGTGCTGGTGATAATATTTCTGGTATGTTGGTTTTGTTTAATTATAACGATTAATTGTTTTTTTATTCAATTCAGCTTCCGGATTGATGTTTCAAATTTAAATTATTATTTGCTGAATCACGAATGATATTTATCGACCAATCAAAAAAAATTTATTAAATTCTTATTTATATTTCTATTATGATTCCAATAAAAGAAAATTTTCTTTCACAAAATATAAATTAATAAATAGGATTAAATTTCCAAATTCTGAACGAAAAAAAAGAGGAAATTATGATGCAATAAATTGATAAAAAAACCAATTTAAAAAAGATTTTAATGTCATTATTGTCGTTGTACGTCATCATCCATATCATGGAATTGATAAAATTATTGACTTTTTTGACAATAATAACTTTGAATAGAACCGCCTACAAGAATTTTTTTTCAAAAAATACTTCATTGATCTTATTTTCTTTTTCTCGATAAACAAGAGAATAGAATTCTTAGGAAAGATGCATTATTTCATTGATAAAATTTTCAGATAAAATGAACCAGAAAATTGAAAAACAAACTTTTTATGTATAAATTTGGGGAAATGAACCAAAGTGAGAAAATAAATAAATGCAGTGTATAAATTGGGTGAAAAAATGAATTAGAAAAAAGACACAGAAAGAGAGAGAGTGGGGAGAAGCAAATAACAACACTCTCTCTCGGTTTGCCATTCGATTCACTAAACGAAGAACTCAATAACACACACAAACAAACAAACAGAGTGAGAGAGATAGAGAAACAAATTCATTGAATTCAAGCTTTGCCACCATCATCATCATTATCAATGAGAAACTAAACTTAAAAAAAACAACGATACTACCAAACAAATCATCATCAACAACAATCATCATCATCGACATCGATATTGACGACAACAACAGCCATCCATCCATCCAATATTACCGTCATCATCTTGATCATCAACAACAATAACATTATCCATAAAAAACCAAAAAAAGAAAGATACCAAACACATTGTAAAATTGTTTTCTATTTTTTTGAGACGGTGTTTTCTCTTCGACAAAAAAAGTACTCAAGTTTTGGGTTATCCAAAACAGAAAAAAATTATCACTAACAAAAACCATTCATCATCATTGTTCAATCAAATTCTTTGAATTGATTCAAGAATAAACGACAATCATCAATGAATAAATTATAATTTTTTCATATTCAACAAATTATATCAACCAAAGAATTCTGGTTTGTTTTGTTATTGATTTCTCTCTATTTTTATCATTGTTTTCGATTAAATAATGAGGGATATAGATTTTGAAAAATTTACATTTGATATGATCACTCCTTCAATCATTTAGTTTATTTTTTTCATTGAAAAGCAAAAAAAAAAATTTCTGATGTGATGATATTGTGTATTGATAAGCTGAGTAAGAAGAAGTAGAATTTACAATAGAATCTTTTTGTACAAATTCATTCTATAGATGATGTTTGATGACACAAAGACATTGAATTGAATTGAAATTTAAATTCATTCCACTGTCATCATCATCATAATAACTATAATTATTACCATAACTAAGAACAATTGAAAGGTTATTTGTTGTTGTTTTTTTCTAGAAAAAATTATCATTATTATTATTAGCATCAAAAAAACAATGTTGAATTGAGCATGATTGATTATTAAACATTTAAAATTAATGAATAATTTTATTTTTTTCAATTCTTACATTGATTCTTATGATAGATATCTGTTTTTGAGAAATTCGTTCATTCAATTATCGGATTTGGGTGATCGATTAATTCATTAATTATTGAATATCAAACATCTGTGAAATCAAATCATCATTATCGATTGTGTGGCCTTAATTAATCAATTTTTTTTCTCTCTTGTCTCGCTGTTTGTTATTATATCAAAAAACATCATCATCATCATTATCAGTAATATCATCAAATTTAATACGATATTGAAAATCCCATAAGATTTATCATCATAATTGAGGTAAATTTATTATCACTATTACCATGTTGATAGTTTTTTGATGGTTCCAATGATGATTCATATTTTCAAACAAAAAATATAGTGAGATTCGAAGTGATTGAAAAAAAAATCGATTGCAATGTCAATTTTGTTGAAAATATTCAAATCCATCAAATATGTGTGTTAATGATTATCGGATGTTTCATAATGTTATGTTTTTATCATTTGTATAGTAAAATATTTTATTTCAATCCCTAATATCATCATTACATCAATCCAATAAGATCGATTTGATTGTGATTGGTAATCAAAACAAACTGTATGACCCATCATCATCCTCATCATCATTGTCATTGTGTGTGTGTTTGATAATTATTATGTGAATCTTATCTTTAATTTTTTTCATATGTTTTAGTAGCGTTATAGTTGTGTGTAAGTAATCGATTACCATCGATATCTGATATGTTTGATGGTGGTATTAAAAAAAATATTGAAAGTGATTATTATCACGAGCCATTTTTTCCTCAATTATCGTTATTATTTGTTGTTGTGCAAAATGAAATTATGAATTTGACAAAAAATTTTAATTTTCCCAATTTTCGTTTTTTTCTTTGAAAACAACAACACAGGTTACAAAATTTTAGAATTTGAATCACAAGTATAAATACGAAGAAAAGTTCGTTGTTGCTGTGTTTGTTTGGCTAATGTGAATTCTCAAATTTCTCTGCATTGATTCGTAACATTTTTTTTTCTTGGACAAATAAATAAATAAATAAACAAGTTCAACATGGGAGCCATATTGGATACACCACATACGGAAAAAACTACCGATACAGGTACCGGTAATGATTTACGTTATGGTGTTTGTTCGATGCAAGGGTGGCGAGTTGAAATGGAAGATGCACATTGTGCTAAAGTTGGCCTACCAGGATTGCCTGAATGGAGTTTTTTTGCGGGTATGTTGTTAATCTGGTTAATAGCTGTTGAAATTGATTGAATTAATTTAAATTAGTATTTGATGGTCACGCTGGTGCCTATGTATCGGCACATTGTGCTGAAAATTTATTATCAACCATATTACAAACGGATAGTTTTCTTGATTATGCTGCTGCTGCAACATCTAAATTACAAGCATTGAAAACAAATGATAACAACAATACCAATAATACTACTAATAATGGTGATGTTCAACAAACCACAACAACTGCAACATCGCCAACAACATCATCCACAACAAGATCATCTGATGTTGGTGATGATGATAATATTGAGAATAGTAATAACAACAATAAACAAGAATGTGATGAATCTGTAACAATGAATTCACAAGCAACAACAACAACAACCAATAATAATGATAATAATGATGGTAGTAGTAGTAATAGTAATCAGAATTTAGAACGTATCAAATCGAATATTCGTGAAGCATTTTTGAAATTGGATGAAAAAATGAAATCATTACCTGAAGTAGAATCGGGTGAAGATATATCAGGATCGACAGCCGTAGCCTGTTTAATATCACCAACACATTTATTTTTTGCTAATTGTGGTGATTCACGCGCCGTATTATCACGTAATGGTCAGGCTATATTTTCTACACAGGATCATAAACCAGTAAATCCACAGGAAAAAGAAAGAATTCAAGCTGCCGGAGGTAGTGTTATGATTCAACGTGTTAATGGTTCATTAGCTGTGTCCAGAGCACTTGGTGATTATCAATACAAAAAGGTATGATTTTATTGTTATGTTCTGTTTATTAATATTTTATTTATCGAACAAAAGGTTGTTGGTCGCGGACCATGTGAACAATTAGTATCACCTGAACCCGAAATAACTATTGTTGAACGTGATCCAAGTGCCGACGAATTTTTAATTTTAGCATGCGATGGTATTTGGGATGTTATGAACAATAATGATCTTTGTGATTTTGTTCGCCATCAATTACGCATACATTCAAATGTTGAAGAAGTTTGTTCCACAATTGTTGATACATGTCTTCATAAGGTATATATAGCATTCATACATTTTGCCTGTTAGCGAAAAATTAATGATTATTTACAATTAATAGGGAAGTACGGATAATATGAGTGTTGTTTTGGTCACATTTCCCGGAGCACCAACAATATGCGAAGAAACTAAACGTAAAGATGAAGAATTGAATGAAAAAATCAAAAATGAAGTAGTTTGTATGTAATGTGTGTGTATCACACGATCAATGAATATATTTTATATTTTGATTTGGATTTAATTTTTATTTATAAATTAATAAAATAAAGGTCAATTGTATCGTAATATGGAATTGTATAATTCAATATATCTTTTAATGCAATCGCTTAAAAATATTAAATTTGATAATCTACCTCCTGGCGGTGGGTTAGATTCAAAGTAAGTTACAATACTGAAAACTAACTGAATTTACAAATTTCTATTTTTTCAAAATCAGACGGACATTAATCGAAGAAATACAACGACGACAAGTTGAAAAACGTAATAACAGAGTAAATAATGGCCAATGACGTAATTGATCCGGGGTTTTTTCTTCTTCATTTCGCCACATCCATCTCTCTCTTTTTCTCTCACCCCTTACACAAACACACAAAATTCAACTAAGCGAGATGTGCAAAAAAAACAAACATTTTCAATCAATCAAATCAAATGACAACAACAACGGATATAATATGCCAACAACAACAATTTTTTTCATTTTAAATTATTATTTTTTTCTGTTGAAAACATCAACCTCCCCCCGATATATATTTTAGATGAAAAGAACGAATATCAAATCTACGAAAACGCATTAACACACACAATATCTTAAGAAATATTTAAGATAAATTTAAGAAAAAAAATCTTTGTCCCGTTCTCTCATTCTCTTGATGGAAAATGTGTCTATAAATTTCTATTATTAATTATTACTGCTTTTGATTGTTCTTAATAATTTTATTTCAACAACAACAAAAAACAAATTTGATTGATATATTTTAAGATTAATATTTGAAACAAAACAAATGAATAACAAATGAATTTTTTAAAAAGTTTAATAATAATCATAATCAGCTTTATTATTTGTCTTCTGTGTGTGTGATGAAAAAGAGAAAAAAAGTAAAACTTGTAATTTTTTTACATGATTTTATTGGAAACATAATCAAAAAACAATCCGAAAACAATAAACATTTACAAACACAGAGAATAATTAATTAATATTGCCAGAAAATGTAAAACAAAACAAAACCAAGAAAAAAAGAAAAGAGACCAGACATTTTGCGAAATAGCAACATTGTAAGAATATTTTCATCCAAAGATGTGTATCCCCCTTTTTGATTCTGTGTCTGATGATATTTGCAACAAAACAAAATTGCTCTGGAAATTTATTTTTTAAAAAATTCTGTAAAATGTTTAATAATTTTTTTTCGTTGTTGTTCAATAATCTGAACAACCCAGACACATGTGCGTTAAATAATAATAATGATGATGATGATAATAATAGACAAATTTTTTTCTTTCCGAAAAACAAAACAAAACTCTCACACAAAACTTTTGATAAAATAAGTCGGGTAAAATTCAATGAAAAAAAAATTATGATTACCAAACAGCAAACATCAACAAATGTCATGTTTTTTAAAAATAAATTCTCATCATTCATTGACTGCTATTGACGCCTTGTTTATGAAACAAAACAAAATTTGACATTGAAATTCATTCAAAATCAATCAATCAATTCAAAGTTGTCATTCAAAATAATGAATAAAAATGATGATTCGTATTTGTTATATGGGTGTCACAAATGTAAAATGTATATAATAAAAATTGTTGTTGGTGTTTTTCATATCCGTTCTCGCTTTCTCTCGACATTCATTACCAAAATTAATGTCAAATATTCTGAACAACAAAACACACAATCTATATTTTTGTTCAAATGAATTTTTAATGAATCCTAATTTGGATTACAACCAACAATAACAATAAATATTGATAATTTTTGAACAAAATTATTAATTCAGATTGATTTGAATCAACTTCTTCAGATGGCGTTGATTGATCAAAAAAAATATTTTTTGGTTTTGAAATGAAAAAAAATTCCACAATCCAATCGATTTTTGACTCATATTTATCGAATTTTGCGTGTTGTGATTTTCGTTCACCGATTCTGTCAATGATGATTGTGATGATAATTAATATTTCTTCAAAAATTAAAAATTTTGAATAAAAAAAATAAATATTTTGTTTTTGAAAAAACAAATTTTGATTCAAATTTCATTCGTTTGTTTGTTTGATTTTCATTTCCGAAACAATTCTCAACAAATGTCATTATGAATTAAATGCAGGAAATTTTTTTCCTGAATGACAATTTCAATCAAAAATTATTTTTTCGATTCATCCAGATCCCAATGTCAAAAATAACTAAGTCACGGTGTTTTGTTGTTTTTCCTTATTGCTTTTTGAAATGACTGTTTTTTCTGTTGAAACTTGTTTTTTATTCGTGATAAATCTCAACTCACCACATGACTTGTTGATTAAGTACCGTTTTTTTTAATTTAGTAAATTGAAAAAATTTCAAATCAATCGTCAAATCATTAATTTGTAATGATAAAATTTCAAAGGTGGTGGGAAGTTGATTTTTATGTGTGTTTTTCATTTTTGAATTGAATAACAAATGATGGTCATTAGTTATTCAATTTTTACATCAAGTTTTTGTTTGTTCGTGATAAATTAAGGATAACAAGCACAAAATACAAATAATCATTTGAATTTCAAATTATTTCGTTGTTGATTTTCATTGATTAAAGCCCACTCATTAAACAATGAAAGGTTTGTCGCTTCTTTTGAAATTTTGTGAGTATAGTGATGGCATTTTGCCCGATTTCGATTTCGATATATCCAGTCAACATTTTTTCTTTTTTCCCTCCTCAATGATTGATTTATATCGAAAAAAATACCCAACAAAATGTCGAATTCTTTAACCATTTTTCTATTTTGTTTGTTTTGTTTTTCCAATTCACTTACTTTAAAGTGTGAAAAATAAAGAAGAAGAAAATCGAAATTTGGAAAACAAAAACAACTGAAAAGCATTGTGTTTTGATTTTGCAATTTTGCAACGTAGTCAAAAAAATCGTTTGGTTATTTGGTTGTTCTATTTTCCTATAGATCCAAACGAATGATCCGAACATGTTGAGAACAATATTTATTTATTTAATTAATATAAATGATCTTCTTTTTCATACAATTATTTTAGTTTTTGCTGATGTTTGTCAATTGTCAGTATTTTTCCAGTTTGTTCTGCCACTTATGTTTGAAATAATAACAATAAGTTCCGTTCAAACTCCATATCAACTGGATTATGATTGCTATGGATTTTCCACCACCATACACAACCATAATATCAAATGAAAAATAAAATGATTATTCCCTTTTTCATTCGCATATCACTTGTGTGTGTTCATACAACAAATATTTGCATTAAATTAACACATTGATTTTGTGCAAAAAAGCCAAGTTTCACAGCGAATGAAATATTCTTCTTCATTGAATAAGAATCCAGAAAATATATTAGAGATGCTAATTGATGGCAGTGTGCTTGTGCGTTGGCCTATTTTGTTTTTGCAATAGCACCACTTATCATCATCATTATCATGACTATTGCACATGATTGTCCATTAACACAATCAATATTATTAGCAATATTGAATCAATCAGTACAGTAGGAATCAATCAATTTTTCACAGAAAAGTACGCACACAAGTTACCTATTTGTCATTCTTTGAAATACCAGGAGGAAGATTTTCATAAATGATAATAACATATCTCCTGAATCACAGAAAACAAAGTTAATGTTTTTTTTATTGACAACAAAACATTGTATTTCACAATCACCAATCACATCATATATTATTTGTCTCTCTATATGTGTCATTACGAGAAAGCGACATAGACATTTGTTCCGTTGTTCAGAATTTTTATTTTGGCTACAAAATATGTGTGTTGAGTGTTCATCATTATTATTATTATGATTATAAAATGGCCATGTGTGTTTTTTGTATAGATTTTGTTCTGGCAAAAAATACTGTTTGATTGAATCATATTGTGAATCACATCATTTTCCAGCATTATCATCATGCCTAAATAATACAATAACCATTTGTGTTGAATAATAATAATTACCTGTTATATTTTCAACTTCTATTGAATTTCTAGTGTCTTTAACTCTTTCAAATTTCAACAATTTTCTTTTTTCTCATTCGTTCATTGTTGTTTGGCTAAAAATATATATTTGTTGCTTTGTTTTTCATTTGAATTTCAGCCTAATTTTACCGTAATATCGTCATCATCATTGTTGTTTTGTCTGCTCCATGTGAATGAACGAAAAATTGAATGGATGACAACAACCTAAACAACAACAATAATAATAACAGGTGGGTGGATGTTGAAAATCTTCTCTGCGAAAATTCCATTCATCATCATAATGATGAAATTTTTCCAATATAGAAAATATTCTATTAATGATTACAAACACGATCAGATGCTTCATTAATTTCATTTAATTTCACTTTTTTCGAGTTCATTCCGAAAATGGAACAGCAGCATTTTTGGTATTTTTTGGTAATCTATGTTGATGTTGCCAATGACAACATCCATCCATCCAAAAAAAAAGAAAAAATCAAAAATCGTCGTCATCATCATTATGATTATCTTGAGATTTAAATGAAAATCATAGCAACCAAAAAATATTGATTATAACTTGGGTGATTTCAAACAAACAAACAAATAACAACAACAACAAAATTATCATTTGATTCTATGGTGGTGTCGACCATTACAACAATATTTTTGTCTCCCAATTTATTTCTGTTATCGATACCTATGATTATGATTGGTGATGGTTGGTAATTGGTGATTGGAAATTCGATATAAATTCATTTTTACATAGCTTTCAACACGATTCATTCATTCATCATCGATGACATCAACAACAACAACAAAATGAAAATAAAATACATTTTTCTATGAATGAATGAAATATTTACGCACGTTGATGAACAACTGATTGACGCACGTTGATAATCAATCCAATCACTAATCGAAAACTGGACATCCATATACGTCCATAGTGTATGTGTTTGTGAAAAATTTTTTTAGATAACAAACATCATTATCTGAAAAATATACACAAAGATGTTGATTTGATTGATTGTGATCTATACAGTGTCATCAAGTGAATGGATGATTCATTCATTCAATTTATAATTTTCTATAGTGAAAAATTGATCATTTTGATTAATAAATAATAAATAATTGTCAGTTATAACAACTCGTCATGTTTCTTCTAAAAAAGGATTGATCTGATCTGGTAAATCTAAAGTGATGATTTTGTTGTTGTTGATTGTAAATGATTAATGCCACCCACGCACATACATTCATTTTTTTGGGAATTTTGTTTCTGAACTCGGTTGTTCGGGATACCATTGTCAACATAAACATTGATAACAACAACCCAAAAATCAAAGGAAGAGAAAATTTTTAATGTCCGAAAACAAACGTCATCACCCTTTACGTCGATTTTGCTCTGTTTGTTTATTTATCAATATCGAATCGAAACGATTTTTTCGATATATAAAATCCAATCAATTGATTCCAATCATATTATCGATTAGTAATCAATTTTCATATCGATTATATCAATGCATTAAACATTTTATATTTGTTTTCAAACATCACAATTCTTGATTGATTAGACATTTGAAATAATAATCATTTTTTTCTTTAAAGCGATTAACATTTTCAAAGTTGTTTCTTCTCAGCAAAATACCTTGTTTTCCGTTTTGTTTGATATTAACCTGATATCCAAAATAAACAGATAGTGTGTGGAATGTATGCCATGTCAAACTGACAGATATATTTAATATCATGTTTTCTCTTCTCTTTCATCATTTTTGAGGAGAATAATAATAATATTATTAATAATCCACCTTTTCTTTTCATTTCATCATTGTTTGACAATAGATTCAGATGAGATCAACATCAACAACAATCTAACAGACCTAGACACATCTCTTCATATGGTCTTCTCTCTCTCATATCTTTAATCACATTGTTTGTATATAGATAAATGATCACCATCATCATAGTGATAATCTTAAATAACAAATTCTCATTTCACCATTGCCATCATCATTGTCATCATCCGATTCGATCGTTACGCAAATAAAACATTTTGTTTGTTGAAATTGAATGTTTACAATACACATCATCAAACATCATGATCAAAAAGTGTTGGAATAAATTGTTGATTGAAAATGTATCATCATTAATCACTTGTATAGTGTATTATTATTATTTTATTGTCATGATTATTATTGTTCAATCAGCAGTAATAATCGATAGTAATAGTCATAATAATAATCGATTATTATTATTGACAAAACGTGATTGGAAATCAACATTACCGGTACCGATACCAAAACCGGGAGAATATTCTCAAGGTTCTATACTGCAATTTTTAAATCGTAAACAAAATTTGGATAGGAAAACATCCAATCAAGATGTTATTACGACAATTGACAATACTGATCCATTATCATCATTGCAACAATTAAATCTGACTGAAGCAAATCGTTGTCTTTTGGGTAGCGAATTTGACCATTGTCCAGCCAATCTTGAATGTCGATCATTGCCACATTATGATTCAAAATTCAATGTTTGTGTTCAAATTGATTGTAGTTTAGATTGTCAAAATTTTAATGAAATTCATTGCCCATCGGATAGTCAAATTATTCAACAAATGATTGAAATAAAGGGGAAAAAATGTTGTCTCCATTTGTGAGTATTTATCGGAGACTGATGTCATATTGTTATCATTTTTCGTTTTTATCAATTACACATTAGTTGTAACTGTGATGAAAATAAATGTACTGTACAAAAATGTCTTGGTTCACGTCCGGTCGTTTTAAAAAAGGCAGCGAAAATTCCGGGAAAATGTTGTGATCAAATTGAATGTAATCCCTGTAAGTAGATGTATTAATGATTGAAAATGATTATTATTTTTTCTCTTTTTCATGATAGATATACCGAAAAAATGTATCGGTTTGAATGGTGAACAATATAATACGGGTGATTCATGGCAATTGAATGACGATTGTCATCGTTGTAATTGTATTGATGGTGTACAAAAATGTGAAAGTATTGAAAATTGTCCATATAAATGTTTACCAGCTAATCATACGGAAAAACTTGATTCAAATCAATGTTGTCCACGTTGTAAAGGTTGAATAATAGGAAACTCTTTACAAGATTTCTCATTAAAAATTCTTTTTTGATGAATTTATCTTTAGCTTGTATCGATGCGGATGGACAAAAACATATTGATTCATCGATATGGATTGATAATTGTCGTCGTTGTGAATGTAAAAATGAAAAAATTATCTGTAACTCACCATATGGTGGTCGACAATTTTGTGATCGTCCTTGTATGGAAAATGAACATCGTCAATGGCAAAATGATCAATGCTGTGATAAATGTGAATGTAATTTAAATTGTCCGTTTGGTTTTCAAATCAATTCTACTGATATTAATCATAAAACATTATGTAAATGTAAAGAACATCTAATCCAAAATAAATCCATCAAAACCGATTATAATTCTCCTCAACAAGGTATTCATTCTATCAATGTTTTTAGCCCATTAATCATTTTGTTTTCGTTTCGTCAACAACAATCTAGCCTCGAACACAAATCATTCCAATCCAATATGGATTCTATTAGGTTTTGCTATATTAATTATTGTTTGTTCATTTTGTTCATATTCGGCATGTGCTTATTTTAAAAATCATCATCATCCAGTTACAACAAAAACAAATTATCAATATATTAATCAAAAATCAACCAATAATAATAATAATAATCATCATAATGATGGTGAAACGGATGATGATCAAGATCTTCATAATGAAATGAGTCAAATGAATGATCAACAACAATCGACCATCGATGATGACCAAACAATTTAATCGATAATTCGCTACAAACAAACAAAAATCAATAATCTCTAGTCAAATGAATCGATGTATAACACACACGAACAACAACAACATTGATTAATTAACCACATTTTTTGTAAAATAAACATTTTGAAATAAATTTAGTTTTTTTTTGTGAATAAATAAATAATCTTAAAAAATCGATACACTAACGCCATCTATTATTTTGATATGAACAAAATTGAATTAGATGGATTTTTGAATTTTTGAATTTTGAATTTTCGAATTTCAAAATTAAATTTCTGAATTCAATGAATATAAATAGTATTTGGTTGAAATGAATTTGAAATTTGAATGTTTATTCTCAAATGGGTCATACGGAACGTGAACGAAAAAGAACACGTGGACGTCGTCGAAGAGAAAGAAGAAAACCACCTACACCTCCACCTCCAAAAAGAGTAGCATCGGATGCTCCAACAGCCATAATAGCACCAGAAGATTATGAACATATCTATTCTGCAAAAAAACAACCCAATAAGACCATTAAAATGCGAGCAGCTAAAGGAGGTGGTCAACAACCAAATCTAGCAAAAGTACCATCAGATGCTCCCACAGCCATAATAGCACCAGAAGATTATGAACATATTTATTGTGCAACTAAAAAACAACCTAAAGTTACTAATGATAATAATGCGGATTTGAAAATACGATCAGATGATCCAACAGCATTGATAGCACCCGAGGATTATGCACATATCTATTCAAATAGAAAAAAATTAATTCCAGGTAAAGTTGGCTTTGGAGCTCAACCAGCAGCCGCCACTCCTCCTGCACCATTACAAATACGTTCCGATGATCCAACAGCATTAATAGCACCAGATGATTATGAACATATCTTTTCGAAAAGAAAAGAAGCTGTTAAAAAAATACAACCACCGCGAGGACTACCACCTAGAACAAAACAATCACCAACAAGAATGATGGAACAAATGAGACAAAATATGCCCGCACCCGAGGAATATCAACAATTCTATAAAGTGGCGAAAAATGTCGTTGAAAATTTAAAAATTGATTCAGATACCCCTACTGCATTGATAGCACCAGAAGATTATGAACATATTTTTAAACGAACACAAGTTCAAACAAAACGAGCACCACCTAAACAGCAACAGAAAAATGTTGAACAATTAGATTTTCCATCGGATGCACCAACTGCATTGATAGCACCGGATGATTATGAACATATCTATAAACGACAACCCAAAGAACAAACCAAAACAATAACACGCAAACAACAACGTCCACGTACTCAATTTCAACAACAACAACAACGAACAAAACTTGAAATACCATCAGATGCACCAACTGCATTGATAGCACCGGATGACTATGAACATATCTATAAACGACAACCAAAAGAACAAACCAAACCAACAACACGTAAACAACATCATCCACGTACTCAATTTCAACAGCAACGAACAAAACTTGAAATACCATCGGATGCACCAACAGCATTGATTGCACCGGATGATTATGAACATATCTATAAACGACAAGAAAAGGAGCAAACACCAAAAAAACAAAGAACACCCAAACGACGACAAACACCCGAGCAAATGAAACGTTCACCACCAAAATCACCAAAACTACAGTCACAATATCAACCACAATTAATACAAGATGGCAAATTAATGATCGATATTAATGATCCCGGTCAATTATTACAATTATTACGTATGATACAAACATTACAAAAATCATTGAATATTAGCGATCAACCCGAACCACAATCAGAACAACAACCAGAACCATCAGTTAATCCATTTGAAGATTTACCAAATAATTATGCATATGATAATAATGATCCATATGATGAACAATCAACAAGAAGAAAATATAGTCGAAAAAGATGATTATTATTATCATTATTTTTTCAAATATTTCTTTTATAGTGCAATGTTTATAACAGAGAAAAAACCTGATGAAAATATTTTCGAATCTAAAAAAAGAAGAGAGTAAATAAATAAAATGCAATTCTGTAAAATAAAGTTTTTCAATTTGGTGATTTAGCCCGCTGTTGCTGTTCCATGACCATGATTACTATTTCGCGAAATTCCAGTTAAATCGGCAATTTGTTTGAATAATGAAACAAAACCATGAGCTGTCACTTCACGTGCAACATCACTAACAACCGAGCCGAAAAATCGTGCAATTTCCGATACCAGAACACCGATTATATCACCAATAACTGATCCAACTGTTTGCAATCTTCCTTTTTTACCATTCGCTTCACTAGTTGATGCTTCTTTGCTACTAAAACGAGACCATAGATCACGTTTATCGGAATTTTTTTCATATGGTTGAATAGCTGATGCTACATTTGGTCCAATCAAATGTTGTTGATAAATTGAATGCATATCAGCAACGGCTTTATAATTGGTTTTTTTATCCGATTCAGAATTTCGACTTTGGGCGCGAAGTTCATTTTTTTGGCTATCATTTTTTGATATTGCGGATGATGATTGTTGTTGTTGCTGATGATGACTATCGATTTTTGTTCCTGTAACTAACGAACAAAATAATAATGACGCCAACAGGATGACTAATTCATGAACATTTCGAGAAAAAATTAATTATGGTCAATTTGGATTTTGAACAGAAAAACTTACAATGCATCACTGGTTTCATCATTATGCTGATCACTGCATCGAAATGACACACACACACAAACGAAAAAATCTTGATTGAAATCCGATTGTGACACACAAAACAATCAAATCGTTGTTGTTAATGTTGGTCGATGAAAAGCCAAAATGATTCTGGCAGCCAGTTTTTTGTCCTGTCCTTGTCAACCATATGATTATCATCATTATTTTACTAAGGCAGTAGTGAAACAAACAAACAAACAGGTATTCCTCATTGATTCAAGGCTAAAAGGACGCCTTCATCTTTTACCTGCAGGTTTCTCTTCAATCGATAATCATGATGATGATCGAATAGAAAAAAATACCGTTAGGTAGTTGAACGGGAATTTCATTTCGACAGTTGAATGGTGATCAAACATCATTATCAGATTTGAGACCTTAAAGAAGAAGAAGAAGAAGCCTACCATATTAATAATTATCACCATTCACATTAATGTAAAACGCTTGATTTAGCTTTGATTAACTTTATTCAGATCAGTGTTTTTTTTCAATTTAACAGAGAGAAGATCAGGAAAGAAAGAAAAAAAGATTATATACCATTTCCCGGTATAATTGAACGGTAAATCTAGCTAATAACACATAACACAAGTGACCTTTACCCAACTATGTCATCATCCATCACTCAACTTATATATCCAACCAATCAACCTGATGACGATCCGATCCGATCATCATGTTTATCAAACAACAACCGATTAGGTCATCGAACTTTATCCAAAACTCATGCTTTTAACCATCATATAGCAAAGATAGCAGTAGAAACATTCATAGATTAAATCAAATTGAATTTTTTCCAAAAAAAAAACTATATCGATATCGTACCAGGAGTTTTTTCTTTAAATTTCATTTCCTCACCCAAAAAAAATATTCAGATTATTTTCCTAATGAACATTTTTTTTATCTATTCATTGAGAATAAACATTGAATATTTACATGAAATGAATTGAATGGAAACTTAATGTGTGTCATCGATTTTCAGTATTAGTTACCGAATTTTCTGTTTTTTTTAATGATGGCCAAGAGGGAGCAAATCGATAGCAAATCATTAGCATCAATAGTAAATATCAAATTCATTTCATTTGAATGGAAATTATTATTGGAGAGATCTGAATTTCTTAGCCTAAATATTCATTATTCAATGAAGATTAATGATATTTAAAATCAGACTTTTTTCATTCATTTTATTGACTGAATAAATTTTAATTCTTTCATTTGATCAAATTTCGAAAAAAAATTCGATGGTGATTTGGATGACCTTGTTTGTTGTTCATTATCGTCAGCATTATTGTATGATACAAACGAAAAAAATAGATGAAAATTGTTGAAAAGTCAGAAAAAAAATCATTGATAATATCCGGATACACAGGAGTCATCATACAAATATAGAGTCAAAAAAGCACGTCGACGCCGTTAAAGATTATTTTGCCCACAATAAAGTGTGTTGAAATGATAACAATGATGATGACAATGAAGATTTGTCATTAATTTCATTTCACTGTCATCGTATTATTATTTCTCTATGGAACAAATTATATGTTTTTCGTTTCTTTTGGTTAAATTTGAAAATAAAAAATGAAACTTGAAGAATATATCCGTACCGTGTCCGCCCCCTCACATAAACCATTTTGGTAGATAGATTGAACACACAAACCTTTATGTTTATTTCAGTAACTACCGTTTGTTTGTTTCAGATTTTCAGCGTTTCAATAACTGGACAAACTGGAGAAACCCAAAACGGAACAAAATTTTTTGTAACGATGATTATGATAATGATGATGGCTATGTCAATGGCGAAAAAGCAAAAAGGAAAAAAAGATCTTTTTTGTGTGTGGAATAAATGAATGAATGGCAGTGATGGTGTTGGGTTACTTTCAATCTATCTTATCGAGTGTATTGTGTGTTGGTGTCTCTATTTAACGTCGTCGTTTTTCAATTATAATTTTCTTTTTATTATCATCATCATATCCACCAAGGCGCTATTCATCGATCATACAATGCAGAAAGTCTATATGGTAGATTTCCAACAACAACGACAATACAAAGATGATTGTGATGAAAAAATTTGTAGTTAGTTTTTTTCCATTGTTCATCATCATATGAAAAAAAGAAATGAAAATTTCTGTGTTCTATCCATGTATGAATGTTGTGATCAAATTTCATCATCAAAAAACCTGATGAGCATCCCGTTTTGTTTGTTTCGAATAAATTTTTTTTCAATTTATTATTTTTGACCATATTTCATTTGGTCCAGATGATGAAATAGTCATCTCTATTGTTTGCGTTTAGATATTTTTTTGTGTTGTTCAGATTGTAATAATAATAACAATTAGGTTTATTATTATAATAATAATGATGAATTAGAGAATGTTCTGAGCAAAACAAACAAAAAAAAGTCAAAGGAAGGGATCATCATGAGTGATTTGTGCCCATTTTTACCACATTATTAAAACTGAAAAAACAAAAACCCAATGGAAAAATCATTGTTTGTCGAATCATAATAATAGTCCCCAATTATAGTCGATGATTGATTGTGAGAGCCAAGATCATCATTGGCTGTCAATCTCAGTGTAAATCTAATTATAAACAAACAAAACAGAATTTAGTTTCAGTATCCTAGATCAATGGAATGGATCTAGTGAAAAAATTGAAATTCATATCGGGTGCGGGTGCACACAATCTCGAAAACTTTTTTTTTCAAACAAAAAAAAGCTAGGCAACCAAATATCATAATGATACATCATCATTATTCTAATAAGCAAGGTCTCTTGACGCAGTCTATTTATTTATGTTTATATACCAAATCAAAAACGCGTGTGCATTTATGTCAATAACACTAAAATATTATGAGGGCGATAAAGTGAACGAAAGAAAATTATTTTGTTTTGGTTGCCGCATCAACCAAACCAAACAAAATAATAATTTGATATCATTAATATTATAATAACGGATTCTTTTTATTATCAAGTTTTTTTTACATTTTTATTTTCAGAATTTTTTACGATGAAGGATAGAGAATAATATCGAATAAGGAGAATGAAAAGAATCATATTATGATGATTGATTATAATGATTATACATTGATTACAATGATGATGATTATTATTGTTTTTTGTTGAAACAAAATAATAATGATGCGTGCCACAGATTTATTTTGGTGTGAACATCATCAATGTGATTTTGTAGATCAGGATGATGGTGATAATGTTATACGGCTGTCATGTCACATTCTAAAATCAATTGGGAAGTTCGGGATGATCGATTGATTAGCAATCGAATTTTGTGGGTGTTCAAGCACAGCGGTAGTCTGATTGATGATGATGTGAATGATGCTGGTCATTTATTATCGATATCAATAGTGGTCGATATTAACAACAATCATCATCATTTGTCATGTGACCATTGGGATAATGTATTTTATTTTTTTGTGTTTTTGTTGGTGTTTTACATATTATATTTTGTTTTTTTTAAGAAGAGAAAAAAACATTTGTTACCATTACGCATAACAAATTCAAATGCAAATAGAAAACATATGAGAGAACATCTGTGTGTTTTACTGATGAATTTTGTATACATAAAGAGAATGCATTACAAATTGATTATTGAAAGATCTACTCAAAAACGATTGTACTTCAATTGTAAGGGTTATTTTGGTTTGAGAGAAAACCTTCAAGGTCAAATTTTGTTATGCAGAGATTAGTGTGACATATAATTAGAATGAATATTATGTAAATTCAAACCAAACAACAAAATCATGTTGATTTATCTTGAAAACCATAAATGTTTTTCCAATTTATAAACACCAATGATTTTTTGAAAGAAACAAAAAAAATTCCATATAAAAATCTATTTGATTATCAAGATATTCCAATATTAGATCTATACTAACTTATCAATCAATCATCATCATTATCTAAAAGCTGTTGTTGTTGATGATGATGATTGTATTGATGATAACTACCATTTTTTCCATTTCGATGATGTTGATGTGCTGAATGCAATTCTTCATGATCATTATGAATGTCATGATGATGGTGGTGATGCGGCTGTCTATCTCGTTGACGTCGATTTTTAAACCAGTTACTTACTGTATTAAAATAAAATAAAAAAAAGAAGCCATTAAAATTACACTCCACAATCAGATCAAAATGAGTCTGATAGATGTGTGTTTTTAGGGAAAAAAGCTGTGTGATTAACTTTGACGTTTAACTTACTTTGTACAACAGTCAACTGTGTTTCATTGGATAGTTTTAATTTATCTTCCTGTGTAGGTAGATTACATTTAAGATAAAATTCTTTTAAAATTCGTCGATTTTTTTCCTTAAAACAATAAACATATTCTTCACCATCCCATATTGTTCGTGGAAATTGATATTTTTTACGTATACGATATTTTTCCACTGCACCGGGAGGATGTCCACGTTTCATTTCATGTTCTTTATAATGTGCATTATTCCATAATAGCTGCAATTCTTGATGGTATTTCAATGGGAATTCATTTGATTCTAATAAATGATAAACTTGTTTGAAATTTCCTGAATGATATGCAGCAATAGCACGTGCACGTATTATTAATTCATTTTGATTACAAATCGCATCATTTGGAAGATTATAGATGAATTTTTCTAATTTTTTTAAATCACAACGTTGTAATATTTGACAAATACAAATTATTTGGTCAATTGTTAACGGGATATTATTGACAATTATAATTTGTCGTTCATTATCATCATTATCTGATGATAATAATTTATCTTTACAACCAATATTGGCTAATTTTGTTAATAATAATGTTCCATTCAATTTGTTTGATGTGGTTAACGATGCGGATGATGATAATTTTGTTAAAAGATTTTGCTGTTTATTGGTGATTGTTCGATCATTATCATCATCATCTGGACTGAGAATATTTTCATTTGAATCATCATCATTATGAATCGAATTTGAATATAATTTCGAAATTGATGATGTCAATCGTTGTTGTTGTGATTGATCGTTCTGTTGTTGTTGTGTATGACTGAATGTTATAACACTTTCACGTTTTTGATTTAAACTTGGATAATTTGCTGTTGTTGTTGTTGGTGATATTGATGACGATGATGATGATGATATTGGTGATAATGATGTAGTTGTAGTTGTTGCTGTTGTTGTTACTGGTGTCATATTGATCATTAATGATTGATGATATGTTTCCATTAATGATGATAATTGTGGATGTTGTTGTGGCTGATGATGATAATAGGATCGTATTGCACGTTGTTGTTGATGATTTGGTTGATGTTCATCATGTCCATCACTATGATGATTATCTAAATTCAATAAACCGATGGAATCCTGTTGAATAAATGGATTATTATTATGATGGTGATTATATGTTGATGATCCAGATGATGATGATGATGATCCTGATGGTGTCATTGATCTTGTGGAATTTAATTGATTGCAAGCAATTAAATCATTCGATGTAATATTACGTAAACTTAAATCTAATGATTGTTGATGTTGTTGTTGTTGATGATGGTGGTTATGTAAATTAATTTGATTAAAATGATGACCATATGATGATTGTTGATGATCCAAATGATGTTGATGATTTGGATTAAAATTATGATTTTGAAGATGAGAATGAGGATGCGGATGATGATGGAATGATGAAATTCCAGTCATTATTGATGATGTTGATGGTGGTGAATGAAATTGATCACCCAACATTGGTCTCAAGTTATCAATAACACTTCTCATTGTTTTTGTTCAAATTTAAATAAAGAAAAAAAGAAAGATTCGAATGCGATATGTTTGTGTAAATTTTTTCAGCCAAAATTGTATCGAATTATCTTGAACGAAAATAAAGATGTTCTTTGGTTTCCAAAAGAATATTCTTCTTTTTTTGGTATCTTGTATCAATTACTATTTGATCGAAGCCGTACTAATATTACATTAACCAACAACAGCAGAATGAAATAATTATAATAAGAATTGAAATGTTTCAATAATGATGATTATATAAAGTTCAATAATATGGTACATTTCAAATGGCTTGCATTGAATTACAATAACAATAACGGTAACGATGATCCATTCGAAAAAAAGAGGGAAAAGAAAAAAAAGAGTTATCTTTCAAAAAATTAATAACGGTTGTTTGGTTTAATAATAATAATATGATAGTAATTTGATGATTTCTTCAAATACACACTTTCTTCTTAGTTTACACACGAAAATCTTGATAAGATCAAATTTTTTTTCTTCAACAATAAAAAATGATATCAGATCAAATTTTTGACCTGATCATCGAATTAGAATTATATTTCGTTTTTTTTTCTTCGCCACAAAAGTTATTCGATTACACACAGTAAATATATTTAAAAAGCTAATTAAATTCACACCATTACAATATGGTGGTGGTGGTGGTGATAAAATACGATCCCATTTGGTTGATAAAGTGATCACAACATAGAAGATCAGATTCAGATATGATCAGATCCAATTGTGTTTTGTCTTCAATTTCTCAATATATAAATATGTTGATGATATTGATTCGTCGGGTTTGGTTCGGTTGATTTGATTTGATGATGATGATGATGATTATGATCTAACTTTACAAATTTTGGTTTGCAATTTCAATCCAACAAAAAAAGAAGAAAAGCTAAACGGTGAATGTTATCTGAATTTCTGAATCTTTCCAAGTTTCACAAGTTTTTGGTTACTGATTATTTTTATTGTTTGCTTGATGGTGACAGAATATTTTTGTTGGGTTGAATTACTGAGTTGAATCAATAATAAAAAACAAAGTGAAATAATATCTATATATTTTCATCTATCCTAAACTCACTATTTTTATAACTTATCGTGTTATACAAATTTTTTTTAGTTCAATGAAAGCCAAGAGTTTTATCATTATACGAAACGTCATTTAAATCATGGCCATAAATGCGTGGATTCAGGGTAAATATATTTTGTCACACACACACACAAACTATAACCTAAAAAAACAAAACTTTTTTCCCATTCATCTTCCTTGTCGTCCTATTGGAGAAAACCAAGTCAAAAGAGGTGTGTACAACAAACAACATTGTGTGTGTGTAATGGGTCTTGCCATAGTGTGTAATATGGGATTTTGTCATCCATTTTCAAATGTAGAGCATTTTCAGTTTATATAGAGATAAAGAGCGAAAGAACATTAAAAATAATTGTCGTTGTCTGGATGTGTTTTTCTGGTGACAACAATGCAACAGACACACGAATCAAATGATCAAATGAACAACAGAAAATTGTTCATTTGATCATATGGAGTTTATTATAGTGATTGTGTCAATGCCAAAAAATGACAATCAATTGTATTTGGTGGATATTTATTCAAATTTACCGCACTTTATTAACACCATTTTTATTTCCTATCACCTTTAATATTGATGTTATTAAAGGTTTTTCCTTTGTCGTCGTCGTCGTTTGTTGTTGTTTTTCTGGAGACAATGAATTATATCGATTGTTATCGGCCATTATTGAATCAATGGATGGTGATGATGATTGGTGATAATTGGAAACCAAATGTCCATTTTTTTCTGTGGAACAATGAAATGTCGCGACAATTTTTTTCGTTGTTGTTTTTAGATCCTGTCGGATCTATCTGTCTAGCCTTTTTTTTTGTTGGATCGAAAAAAAATATTCCTATGTTCATTTCATATTAGGAATTACAAATTATTGTTCCATTTAAAAACATAGACAAAAACTGACAATAACCAGCGTTTGTGTTGGTCTTTTTTTCGTTATTTTTTCTTTTGATCCAATGGTGTGTAAGTGCATGGAATTAAGAAAAAGGTGAAATGACGGTGAATGAATGGAGAAAAAGAGACATGGGTCTTGTCATTTGGTTCAAAATCCAAATATTCAAAATGTGTGGTGCGATAATCTGTATAATATGGGTGTTATAACGACTGAATGATGACGGCTATTGTATTGTATTGTTACCGGCATAATGCTCGCGTGAACAAAATGTTTTGTTTTGTCTTTTTTTTCACACATTCAATTGAATTTTGAAAAAGGAGAAAATCTCTATTCCAGATTTGTGTGAAAAGGGGATAATAAAGAATTTCTCCGATTACTTATTGTTTATTTTTTGTTTTGTTTGAAATGAACAATTTTATTTCGGGTTTTTTCCAGAGAGAAAAAACAACACAAAAATGGAATTCAATTGTGATTGATTCGAATCCATTATAAATAACAGTAAAGTTCCTTCCCCTCCCAACAAAAATCCGATAATGATTTTTCATTGATTTTCATTGATGATTATTGTGTGTTTAGTGATGATGATGAAATTTGAGAACAGGGATAAATTATTTAGATGAAATGAAAAGATGATCATTTCTATTACATAATGATCATCTATTTTTATTTTTGGATGACGATGATAATGCTTGAGACTTGTGTTTCCATCTTGTGTGAATTGTCTGTAGTTTTTTTGTTTTTTTGAAAAATTAATTTTTTTTCATAGAAATTTGAGAATAAAACAAGTGAATAATTGGTAAATGATGGTGGTGTTGTTTGAATGATTCTTGATTTATGTTGTTCGAAAAAAAATCATGCATATAAATCTTTCGAATGACAGATTGGCTTCTGCCGTTTGGTCCAATGTTTATATTATGGAAAAAATCACATTCAATAAATGAAAAGTGTGATAAAATGATAACCAAGGTTATTCATTATGACCATTCGGGTTTTTCGTACGAAATGGTTCATCATTATACAATCATGGTTGTTATGCATCATTATGTAAGTGTGTGTATTATGCCCAGATGAGCAGTGAAAAAAAAAAATAAAACATCTATGCATCCATTTTTCACTAAATCTCTCTCCCCACCATAACACACAAAAAAAATTGAAAAAAAACCAAAAACAAAACGAAATTAACCAAAAAATAATTATTAGATAATATTGTAGAGAAGAGTGGAGCTAAAAAAATTGCGAAATTTCAATTTTTCAAATCAAAATTTTTTTTAGTTTTTTTTTCTTTTCTTTTTGCAACAAGTCATTACCATAGCTGCAACGATAATGATGATGATGATGATATCGTCGATTTTTTTAGTTGTTGGTTGTATTTTAAATGAAGCACCAAAAACACAAAAACTTCAACAAGATTGGATGCTCATTATTTTTCAATATTCCAGATGATCATAATGATGATAATGAAATTAATAAAGAGAGAAAAATGAGAGAAAAATAAAACAAAAAAAAACGAAAAAAAATGAAAAATCGGGTTGCTGGAGAGTGAGAACAACCGAAATCACTTTTGTGAGATCATTTCACTTTTGCCTAATCATACAGTTTAGCTTAGTTGTTGAATTCGATTCGATTGAATCATCATCATTTTTTAAATTTAAATTTTTATTGTGAAAAAACAACGATCAAATTTCATTTCATTTTTCAATAATGATGTAATTTTTTCTCAAACAAAAAAATTTGTTTTCACTTGTTGTTACACCTTAATCAGGATAAACTGTAAATTATCCAATGGATTTTTTGGTAATTATTATTACTATTGGAATTTGATAATTTTTTTTTCATTAAATATTTTGAAAAAAAAGGAAAATTTAGATGATAATGTTCTTCATCATCATTATGATGTTGCATCAAATACAGATTTTAATGATGATTTTGTAAGTAAAGGATTTTTCTTTGTTAGTTTTTGATTGAAAAATTTCTCAAAATTTCTTTGTCAATAAAAGTTGGAAATTTTTGGTAAAGATGATGATGATAATCACCGACAACATCGAAACCATCGATTATTATCGACTGACAATCGCCATCAAAATACTGACCCGAACAAAAATAAAAGTGGTAAATTTTAATTGAAATGAATCAATTTTTTAAAATTTTGATCTTTGAAAAAACTATTTTCGAAAATTTTCAGCTCCAATTTCAGTCAAAAAGATTGATGGACAAATCATCAACAGTGAAGATCGTAAACAGAAATTATTGATAAATTTTCGTTTAAAATTGAATAAATATGCATTATGTAAAAATGATTCTGATTCATTTGTTGATCCATCTGAATCGGAATGTTTTGAAAAATTCGAATTATTACGTAAAATGAAATCGATTGAAAATAAACAAAAATTTCATCAAAATGTAAAGAAAACATCATTTTTCACTGTTGAAAAATTTATTCAAGAAAAATTTGAAGAAAATAAACAAAATTTCCTACGAAAATGGTGGAAATCTATTTGTGAAAATAATTTATCCAATGTTGCTGAGGATTCATCAACTGATGATGACGAACATCAGATGTCAATCAACAACGAGAATGAAAATCAAGAAGAAAATCATTCCGTTCAACAGCAACGATCATCATCCACAACATCAACAACATCTATTCATCATAATGATGATGATGAGCAATTACATAATATGATGATTAAACCGGAACATATTTGGATTGGTAAACAAGTAGAAATAGGTGAAAATGATGATGAATCAATCGAAATGGAAAAGGTAAATTATTCTATTCAGGATAAAGTCGATGATAATTCAATTCAAAAAAACATTGCTCAACTGAAAAATGAAGAAATTCACCAAGAAGAAATGGTGTCAACTAAATCAAAATCTGAAATTGATCAAAAAATAAACTTATCAATAATCAAAATTGAACATTCATTCGATGGAAATTCAGAAATTTGTTGTTCATTCGACAAGAATGACAATGATGAATTGAATGATAATGATAATTATTCCGACCATGGGGATAATGATGATGATGAAAAAGCAAACATAGAAGATTGGGAAAAAATCCATTCGATTAAAAAACATTGTCAAGAATTGATGGAAAAAAATAATATCAATGAACAATGCTTAAATGAAATTAAAAATTACCTCAAAAAATTAAAACCAAATCTGATTGAAAATTCATCCGAATTACTCTTCTATTTGATAATCGTTTTGTTTAATTTGGATCAAAATTATAAATATTGTATTGAATTATGTCGATTGAAAAAAATGCCATTAAAATTTCATCGAAAATTACAACAAATTTGGGATCTATCATGGGAACAATTGGAATTACAACGAAAAAATGTTCAATTTTTAACTTGTGTACAACGTTTTCGTTTAAAACAACGTAATCCATATCCATCAACAATCACTATTGGCAGTCGAATTAAATATGGTATACCAATGAAATTTAAAAAAATTCTAATCAATTATTATGATAATGTTAACAAACATCCAACAACTTATGATAAAGAAAAATTGGCTGAAAAAACTAAATTAACTGTTAAACAAGGTTAGATTTGAAATGAATTGCTTTCTTTTCTCAAATGTTAATTGTTTTTTCATTGTTTAGTATCGACATTTTTTAAAAATCGTCGCAATCGAATTCGATAAATCTATTTTTTACCCGCTCAAAAAATTTCAAATAAAAAATATTATCAAATCTCACCGATAGATGGCAACAACAGCGACACTGCAATCTCTAATTTTTGAAAAAAATTATCATTTTATAGAAATTAAAAATATTTTTTATAAAAAGTTCCATCCATTCATTCAACTTTTTCGACCATATTTGTCATCATCGGAATTCATTTATAATTGATGTTTTTTTCTTTGATAAAATTGGAACAAATCACGCAAATATATCATCATCATTATCACTGTGACTATATTGGATCGGGAAAAAATTCATTCATTGAGAAAAATGAAAAAATTTTCTTATTGAGAAGGACATTCAATTATCTTTTGATGGTGATAAACGCCAAAATTTATTTGCCCATACAGATAGTGTTGTTGATGATGATAGGTCCATTTTTTGTGGTGATGATGATGATGATACTGAGAGATTATTTGATTGATCATCATCATTATCAAGGAAAGGTATCCTCATAATCATCATTTTCATATTGTAATTATACAATGACAATAGAATACGATAGATTTTCAAATTGAACAAAAGATCATCATCACACCAATTCAAATGAAATGTAATAAAAAAGCTAATCAATCTTTATTAATGTTTGATGTGATGTTGATGTGAATTAATTGTGTCAAAGTTTTATTTTTGGAAATGTTTTTGAATTGAAAAAAAACCACAACAAACACAGATCAATAATATTGATTTGAAAAACACACGTCTCTTTCCGATAATGATTCTTTTTTTTTGCTGATCTGATCAATTCAGTGTTAATTCAATTTGAATCAAATTGATTTTGATCATAGTTGTCTTCCTGCGTGCCTGCTGTGGTCTTTTTTTTATCGTGTGAATTTGTTTCTTTTCGTTTGAAATAAAGATCAATAATAATGATGCTAGTCATCAGTTACTGTTCTTCTTTTGACTGGTAATTGATGTTGAATGATCCAGAATCACTTTGGTTGTTTGCACATTTCACACAACAACAATAACAACAAAATAACATAACAGCAATCATCATCATCTGGGTTCTTGGTTTGAATTCATTCTTTGTTGTTTGGTGATCATCATTACATTATTATTATTATTTTCATTTTTATATTTCCATCATCATCACTATGATAAATGAAAATTTTTTCTGACATTTAATAATAAAAATGAAAAAAGCTTTTTTATTCAACGGAAAAAATAACATTTTCATTTCATTTGGTTGGTTACGGATGAAAAACGACGAACCAAAATGAATGAAAAGGAATGAACAACAACTCAGCAGAATCAGCCAATTGTAAATTTGTTGATTCCTTCAATCTGAATTTCTTGTGAACGACATAGACAGCGACATTATTATTTTAGCCACAAACCTTCCAAACAAACATATATTTTATTCCTAATGTTGTGGTAGATGAGTGAGAGAAAAATCTGGAAAAAACGGATTCAAATCGGATTTCCTCTATTCAGTGTTGGTTCCACACAAAAAAAAAACAAGAAAAAAATTGATTATTCTGGAACCACTACAAACAAACAAACAGCAGAATTCTTCAAGCGAATTCTGGCGTAATAATTGTCGATCGTCGTTCACATTGATAATAATAGCGACGTTTCGGGTCATTTAACATTTTTTTCCATAAAAACTCGTTAACTCATTCTTGCCATGATTAGAGGGCCATTATTCCACTTCAATCATTTCGTTTTGAAATGTAATTTGTAAACATAGATGTTTATGTTTTTGAATTCATATTTTGTTTTCACTCCCTATATACACTGAATTAAGATCTTTTTTCTTTATTTCAATATTGGTTGAAAAAAAAGTTGGCAAAAAAAAAAGAAATAAATTTCTTGTTTAACGCGCCTAGATACTCATGGTGATTAGGATATTTATAGAGTCACTGTGACTTCATCACATATTTATCATTTTCACTAATTTTCAGTTGTCTAACAAACCAAAAAAAACGCCACAACAAAGCCAATAATAAAGTTGATAATTTTAAGTAGAATTATTTTTGCTATTTCATTTTTTCGTTTTGTTTGGCTTCTGTATTCATAATATAGTGCCTTTTCATCATCAAAAAAACATGCGCATCATTTTTTTTAATTTGAAAAATAATGATTTCAGTAACTGGAAAAATAGAAAGTGTCAATTTCTAATGATGATGTTAAACAGGCTGAGCTTTTTATCTTTCTCTAATTATGATCATCATGAATGTGTTTCCGATATGGATATTGTTGGACAAATTTCCATTTATATAATATTACGGAAATGATTTTTTGAATTTTCTTTTCAAAAAATTCCATTCAATATTGATTTGAAATTTATCGATTTAAATGACAAAAAAAAATTTTGAACAATCATTAATCGATCAATATTGTCTAACTGAAAGAAATATTGCATATTCATTAATCAATACACCACATTTGTCGTTCGTGTCATGTTGTTATAAACTGGGAGTTTGAAAAAAATGAATTTTTTTCTCAGTTTTCATCCTATTTATGAAAAATATGATGCTTTGTATTCACCAAGTTTGAAAAAAGAAGAATGGAAAAGAAATCTTTACCAATCTTTTCTTCTCGGTAAAAATAGAATCAATTTATCATCAAGTTCACTTGAAAATGATGTGTGATTATTGATGATGATCAAAAATTCTTCATAAACTTTTTTGAAAAATATTTGATAAATCGAATTGAATGATGATCCACCAAAATTTATTTTTAAAACGAAATCCGTTTCTATTTTCATACTGAATTTTATTTATTTATTGATGAGAATCGAAACAAATGTTGTTACATATTATTGTTAGTTGTCATGACAAATTATGATGATGATGATGAACGGATTTTTTTCACTCAAATCAAAATGAATATTTTTCGCATTTTGAATATTTTCATTATTTTTTTGTTGGTTAAAATATTTTAAATTTTTTGTTTCGAAAGAAAAAAAATTCTTTCAAGCAAACATGCCACACACATATGAATCTTTAAAATAGCTGATGCTATTAATATTCATTGCTAACGATGATGATGACACTCGAAAATTTTCATTCATTCATTTTAAAACTAATTTGCTGGTTTTTTTCTAATCAAATCATAAGCACACCTTGAAAATAAAAAACAAAAAAAAAATTTAATCGATGCCAACGAACTTAATAATAACCATAATCATTATGATCATGGTGTGATAGTAAATGGTGATGATGACACATAAAAATCAAATAGATTTTTCTTTTTCTACATCCAAATCAATAAATCACTGTTCAATTTTCATTGCCATCTTTTTTTTCTCACTTGAAATTTTGGATTTTCAATATCTAATCAATTTCTGTCTAATTAGATAACAGATATGACCAAGGTGAGAAATGGATCATCTTCTGTATATCTTTCTTTCTTTTTGAAAATTCTTTTAAAGGCTATATTATTACTTCACATCTCATCATCATCATGATAATGAGAAGTGATCACACATGTGAAATAGAGATAGTCACCTGAATTTTATAAAATCGAAAAATTGAATGAATGATGATGATTGGAAAAAGAACAAATTGGCGCCCTACTGTATAATGATGATGAAAATTTCTGATCAAAATCAAATCAAATGAATGAATTTTTTTCACTATAATATTTCACGCCTGTTTTTTTATTGGATTGAAATGAAATGACGGAAAAAAGATATTCTCATTTTCAAAAACATAGTTGCCTTCCTCCCTTCATCTAAATTAGTTTTTTTGTTCCCCTCGTACATCCACCCATAATGCTTTAAATCTTTTTTTTTTGCTGAAAAACAACAACAACATTAATCCACTGTTGCATTTCATTTTTCCAGAAGTCGGCTAGTTTCTTTTTAATTCGCTAAGTGGTGTGTGTCATGGATATATGGATGTCATGTTGATCTCATCCATATATAATCCTGCAAAGTAGTTTTTTTCATCATCATCAATCTATCCAATTCATTAATCTTTCCGAAAAAAATAAAAAAATAAAATTCCTATGATTCGTATGAAATCAAATGATATTGAATGTGAGTTTGATTCTCAAATGATTATCATTACTTGAATTGGTTTTTCTCTATTAGTTATATGCAGCTAATGTAATGGAATAATCATATCCGATAGTCATATCATCATCATCATCATCTTAATCTCAATCTGATTAAAACAATCTCACTATAATCAATAATCATTCTATTAAAATAGGTTTGATTTAATATGATGATGATGATAATGATTTAACGAGGTATTTTTTAACCTCGTAAATGAATAAATCAAATTTAAATGAATGAAAAATTTTCTTGTAAATTATTCCAATTATCTATTTCGAAGGAATGAATGAACGAATCGAGTGTGTAAAAAACTAATCTAGTTAAGTATAACATACACACACACATAGAATATATAAAAGGTACTTATAAAACCAAGATAATAATAATGATATACCACACACACACATCATTTCATTTTCAAAATATATCTTTCTGTGTGTGTGATGATATTTTTTTAGAATGATTTTTTTCAAACCGACAAACAAATTGTAGTAACAAACATTATTCAAGATCAAAGATCATCAGAATGGTGATTCTGGAAAAAACTCTTTTTTTGCTGTTGAAAAATCATTTTCATTTGATAATAATAATTTAAATTTTATTATTATTATTATGATGGTAGTATTTTAAATGTGAATTTTATTAAAGAAAAACTTTATATGTGGTATAATTTCTTAAGAAAAAATGTTGATAAACACACAGAGAAAAAGAATGCCGATGATAATTTAAAAAATTCCGTGAATGAACCAAGCATTTGATATACGAGCACTGATGGTGGTGGTGGCCATAATCCTCAAGACGCTCGCGACTTTCTTGGCCACCAAAAAAAAAACGAAAGAAAATTCCAATTCAAAATTTACGTCGATCATCATCATCACCATCATCATCGATATCAATATCCTTTCGAAATAAATTTTCATGTTTAAACTAATTTAAATTCTATGATCATCA